AACCCCGATAGCCACTCGTGATGATCATGAATGGATCAGACGATTTTGAAAACAAATTTGGATCAAATTTGAAACATATGTTCTACATTCAATGAATAAAAATATATACTAGTAAATAAATGATCAAATTTAGGAATTAAAAATCAGTAAACCAGTTGTTGAATTTTTGCGACAAACTATTTACGTAAAATAGCTGTCATATTTACTAAATTTCTTTCTAAATAAGTATGAGCGCAATATAACGTCATATGAACGATATTTCATGTATTCATACATTTACAAAAATTATCTGTAATTTTATGACGACATTACATGAAGAAAAGTTTATGCAAAAAAATGAATTATTACGATTATACACAAAATTGCATAAACATGCCATAATATTTATGAAGAAAAAAAAGTGATTTTAATTATTAAATCTTTACACCAAATTTACATCACATAAATTGTAAATTTGTTGTAAACTTTTGGTAAATTAAATAAAATAAAACGTCTGACTTGAACAACCGACAGACAGACCGCCGGGTTAATTTCTCGAATTTACAGACATAAAGACAATTTTGTTCTTCAGTCATCAGTTTTCGGTTACACTTTAACGCAATAAGTTGTCACGGAAATTTAAAAAGTGTTGGTTGTTATCCAATAAGTTACAGTTTTCAAAAATGTGAGTTACAAAATACATACATTAGGTATATCGTCTCAATAATAACTTCATGTTATAAAATAATCTTTTCTTTTAGTTATTATTAAACATAAGACTCTGGAATTTTGTTAAAGCGTTAGTATAGCTTTTCAAAAGCATCACTAATGCAAGCTAATAATTCAAGTAATCAAGACCTAGTCTATGAAGATCTAACAAATATATATTCAGTAGAGAAGCTGGATATTATCAACCACATATAATCCAGAATCCAGGAAAACATTAATAATAATACAACATCCTCGTACTTTTGAAGAGAAGATGTTAAAATCATTGTCAAACATGGAGTAAGTTTTGTCAGAAGATTTGGGCAATTTTATATCACTTCAAAGAAAATGAACACAGAAAAACAGTGACAGTGAATATGATATACCAAAAATTAATATATAACCTTTATATATATACATAGATTTATATAAACATATTTTTTATAAATTAATCATTTTTATATTCTTTTTGTTAAAACCATAGGTATAATATGTTTCATATAATTTCATAATATACTTTAAAAATGTAAAAGGAATTTATATAAAACATTAATTCTACAATATTTTTTTTGTATATGTATGTAGCTACTGTATAACGTAATACTAATAAATACGAAAATAATTGATTAAAATATTTTAATTGTATACAGTTTGCTAATTTATTTCAAACAATATATAATGAATTGTATAAAATATTACATACAATTGTAAATACAATTCATTATAAATACTTTGAAATAAGCATTTTAGCAAAATGATGTGTACGATTAAAAAATATTAATTAATTATTTTCAAATATGTATATACCTTTCAATTTTTTTACCGTCAATTATTTACCATCATATCATGAGTTAAAATTTATCTAAATATGATGAGAAACATTGCTGCATGTAGTACAGTAAATCTTGCCCTCATATGTGCCTCATAGGTTTCTTCATTTCAATGTCTTAAATGGTATGTCTATTTTACGTAAATTACGAAAGTAATTCAATTTACGAAAAGTTGTCTTCGTGTTTAGTATTCGTTTGACTCATGAAATGCAGACAATATGTTACAAATTTTTACGTTCACAAGGTGAGCAACCTTTACACATGTCGTTATGATACGAATAGTAAATTTTTCGTAAATATGAAGTAAATGTGGCTATCGGGGTAGGTACTTTGTCTAAATATAATGTAACCTTTTTAGGACTAACTTTGTTACTCCCATATATATTGAGTACCAGGCATAACTGGAGCGAATGTAAGTTAAGAATATTTGCTTTGGCGAATAAGAAAGACGAATTAGATTACGAGCAAAGGACGATGGCCAGTATGTTGTCGAAATTCAGAATCGACTATTCGGACATTCAAATAATTCAAAACATTACAAGTAAACCTGAAGTTTCTACCACTGAATTCTTTGAATCTCTAATCGCGGATTTCCGAAAACCAAAGGACGAAAATGATCCCGATTCTGGTAATACAAACTTAATATCCTTCGCTTAATCTTGTACCTTATTTTTTTTGCATTAAAGCACAATTAAGTGAAGCAGAAATTTTGGGTGCAAAGCAGAAAACTAATAGACATCTACGACTTCGAGAGCAACTTTTGAAGCATTCAAAAGATGCCAATTTGGTGGTAATGACACTTCCAATGCCCAGGAAGAGGGTAGTTTCTGCCCCTTTGTATATGGCATGGCTTGAAGTCCTTACAAAAGGATTGCCTCCAATGTTTCTTGTCCGAGGGAACCAGGAATCAGTTTTGACATTTTATTCATAATATTTATGGATAATTCATTTTTTTTGCATTAGTAGCTTAATCTTACTAAATTGTAATTTTTAGGTGTGCTTATAGACATACTTAGGTCCCCAGGAACTTACACATATTTAGATTCCCATTAATACACAAATAGTAAATAATATTATGTTCCTTATTTGCTGGCGAGATAATTTATTATGTTTTATTATTTATGTAACTAGTTTTAGATTTTCTAAAAAATCGCATTATGTTTTTGATTAGGTGTACATATATGTAGACATTAAGATTATTGTCAAAAAAATGACCACTATGTACAGATAGACTTACTATTAAAACGTAAGATGTTTGTCAAATGACATAATGTGTTACACTCTTAAGTAAAATATTTCGCTTTATTTTGTTTATTTGCATCTATTTATTAGAAGTTTTCTAATTTTATTTTTATTTGTATTCGATTATTTTAAACAATAGCAAATAACTGGCGAAATGTTCGGCTACAAGTCGAAAAAATTTCACGAAAATATATGTATTCTTATGGCGCACGCTTTAGTAACACACATATGGGCCATGCAACCTATCGTTCCGCTCTTTTTTATTGAACGTAGAATGTTGGTACCTTTCAAACTGTTTTTAGCTTTCTACAACCAATTTAATCTACAAAACTAAAATTCATGTGAAAACTGCATTAAATTGGTTGGATTTACCTTTTTCCCATCTTCGTCTATTATTTTTGTGTGTTAAACAGTTATTAAATGTAAATACCTTAACCCCCTTTCAATTAATGTCCTATAATTCTAAAAGCAGGCCTATTTAATGTGAATATTTATTCAATTTTTATCCACTATTAGTAAATTACCTCAAATTCATGAGAAAACATTGTTGCTTCTGTTACACCCTCGCCAGGAATCGAACCCGGGACCTTTGGCTTTAAGTACCAACGCTCTGACCACTAACCTACGAAAGGTGATATCAACAATACGAGGAAACGTACTTATTAAGTCACAGATTCGTCAAAGTAACGTATGTACCTATAAATAGATATTAATATCATATGAAATATTTCAAGAAACTTTTAATAGTGTGTAATATTTAATTTTAATGTTTTTCATAAGGTGTTGAGATATATTAATATACATACATTAGTTCGACGAATGTTTGACCCATATCGCCGTTATTATTGGTGTCACTTCTCGTAGAGCATTGGTACGTAATGCGAAAGGTCTCGTGTTCGATCCCCGGCGAGGGTGTGTCACCAGCAACAATTTTTCCTCATTAATTTGAAGCAATCTGTATTTTTTTAACGCTAAGAATTTGTTTGTATTGAATTTTATAACATCCTTCAACAAAAAGAAATAAATTATTAAGGCGCATAGTCCCAAACAACGAAGTTTTGATTTCCATATACTTATGTACATACAATGATCAAAAAAATACATAATATATGTACATTAATAAAATACAGGGTGTTTCATTTTATCAGAACTAAATTTTACTTCAAAGAAAGAATAAATTAAGACAACGATAGGCACAGAGATATTTATGATGCTATCGATTTTGAATTTATTGCCCATATAAACCATCATGTACGAAAAAAATGACAAAAGGTATAACCTCTAGTCGGCTTTAGGGGATTTACTAACAACCGCCAAATAACAAAAAGCCCCACATCGCGGAATCGGTTGAGCAGCTAAAAATGCACCTCCATCAGGCGAATTGGCATACAATAAAGGTTTTTCTGGTGGTGGTTGTTCAGTCCACTGAGCTGCCGCTTCAGCCTGTGCAGCACCTATCGCTTCTGCACCTCCAGGCTACACAAAAAATTAAAACTGATCAAGTGCGAGTTGCACTCACGTATGACGATAGCGCAAGGTTGAGTCGCCTTCAATAAAAAGAAGTCACTTCTATGCTCGCGAACGGTTAACTTAGATATTCGAAAAAGATTGTTAAAGGTGTATGTTTGGAGTGCGGCTCTGTATGGGTGCGAAACATAGACGGTGGGCGCTGCGGAAAAGAAAAGGTTAGAAGCGTTCGAAATGTGGTGTTACAGGCGAATTATTAGGATACCGTGGACAAAGAAGGTTAGAAATGAAAAGGTATTAGAAAGAATAGGAGAATAGAGGATTCTATGGAAATCAGTAAGAAATAGGCGAGATAGGTAGGACACCTTCTTAGGCATGAAGGTCTAGTCAGAAACATATTAGAAACAGAAACAGGAGTTAGGAGGGGTAGAGGTAGGCCGAGATTAGATTACTGTTCGCAAATAGTTAAGGATGTGGGTTGTTCTAGTTTTAGGGAAATGCGAAGATTAGCTCAGGACAGGAAAGAGTGGAGCTGCGTATCCAACCAGTCTTAGGACTGACGACCTTATGGTTATAATGATGATGATAGAATCGGGAAACATACTATCGCAGTATCAGTCGGGATTTAGGAATGGGTACAGTTGTGAAACTGCTTTTCAGTATGTACTGAACGAATGGCGAAAGAAGAGGGATGAGAAAATGAATACAATTATAGTTGATTTAGATTTGAAAAGGGCGTTTGAAACGATTAACAGAAAAATATTAATATAAAAACAGGAAGGATACAATATTAGGGGCGGTATTGAAATCGTTGGATAACTATTTAACAGATAGGGTGAAATAGGTGCATTGATTATGGTGTGCCACAAGGTAGCATCCTGGGACCATTGTTGTTTACCATATATGTTAATGATATAGGAAACGCGTTAAATACCTGCAAAATTCATATGTTTGCAGACGATAAAATAACATACTATTCAAGCAAAGAGAAAACAAACCTTCAAGAAACAATAAATAAAGAAATGGAAAGCGTCAACGATTGGTTCTTGACGAATAGATTAAAAATCAATACACAAAAAACGAAAGTAATGTTAATAGGACCACATAAAACAAAATTGAAGAACAAAATAGTAGTAAAAATAGAAAATAATTTAATGGAATTAGTAATTACAACCAAATACTTAGGAATAATTGTTGACGACAACTTGCAATTTGATGAATATATTGAGTAAGTGGGGAGAAAGACTGGGAAAAAACTAGGAGTATTAAGAAGATGCAATAATTATCTATCGCAATGGACCATGCGACAGATTTTCAACATAAAGAGCTTCTACTGTATCGTAGTTAATTAATTATATTGGACTGTTTACGCATATTTTTTGTTATTTTTAGTATAAGGTAGTTAAGGATAAATACGTATTGAGAAATAGTACCTATAGCTATGTTAAATAAAGCTATTTTTATTATTATTACATTACGTGAGGGGAACTTACAAGTAAGTGTGCTATAGTTTGTAAAGGACAGGGTGGAGGGTTATCGTTGAAGGGTGGTGATAACTCCATTGTCTGTAAATTCATGACCAAATAATACATAAAGTCATTCCTCAATTTCATTTCATCTATTGTTCTATTGCTAGTGCTCAATTTTCTCATCCATCTTACAACTTTCTGGCGGTCTAATAAACAAATGTGGACACGTAAATGGCATTGGAAAATATTTTTATACCAGATAAATCATACCAGCAAGTGAAGTCAAATTGGACATCATAGACTTGCACAAGAAGGTGTTGTGGTTAAAATTGTAGTTTAATATATCTGCTTCATTCATTTTTACAGCAATTTTTTAAAAACTAACTACCAAACAAAATTATGTATTTTGACATTACAATCATGAATTTCACTAAAACGTTTCATAGCCCTCGCGAATTACACATATGTAGGTATGTGCATAACTTCAGTCTAAAACATGTCTAAAAATTTTCAAAACAAAATTGTGTATGCCTTTATCTCCTACGATTGTTTTTCGTAGGTTTTCTTTTTATCAAAGAAACAATTCAAATAGTTTTCCGTATGGCAAAATAATATTAATAAAATTAGTACTTACATACGTTTCTTTAGAGATTAGAGATGCCTCTGATGTTAAGTAGTATTATTCCCAAAAAGTCAGAATTATCACCAAATGTTCCACTAAACCACACAGTTAAGTAAAAATATCACTACAACGCGACCGTTCTACACTCCGATCTAGTTAAACTAATACTGCTTCGTATTTACACTTTCCTGACCAACTACACATTATTATACCTAAAGGTTCATAAAAAAAGGTCGTAGAAAGGTCGTATCTATCGTTAATCATCATAACATCGAGATATAAGAATACTGGTGTTGAGAAACAACAGTAATATTGCATTCCAATAGTTGCCAAAAGTAAATAAAAATTACAATTTCTGTACGCTCCTTGATAAATAATGACTAATCGTTCAAACATGCCAGATTTATCTTAGCATTATGTACTTAATAAATGAAAGGGATTTTCTTTACAAAAACGAACTAGAAGAATCTTGAAATTCATGTTTAAAAATATCTAAATATCTTTACGGAAACAATGAATCCACTCATAAAAGTAAAATGACAAAGAATTAATAAAGGTGATTCGTTAACAGAGTGTTTAACGACAAAGTACTTCAATTTAGAAAATTTTGGTATAAGCAGGTATATTTTCTTCATGAACAGAATTTTTGGGATCTTCAGAAGCACCTTATTCAGGTGTTATTTGCGTTGATTTACTTAGAATTTTTACAAATCAAGCAAAATATTCTTGTGGATTTTATAAACGCTATAGACGATATATTTGTTATATGGTGTACACTGTACAATTTCAATTTTTCAGTTTTTCAAAATTTATACGTGTTTATTATTTACACACGGGGTAAAGACGCAGGATGTCAAAGTGTAGCAAAACAGTTGTTATGGTTTTTATGTATTTTTCTGTTAACAATCTTCCCATCAAGTAAAGGCTTTTTTATGAATTGAAGAAGCTTTTAATTCTTGCACTTACCTATCGTGTTTTATTATTTTATCTAATATACTGTACATATTCCAAAAAATGTGGTGTTACAGGCGAATGATGAGGATACCGTGGGTAGAAAAGGTTAGAAATGAAGAGGTATTGGAAAGAATAGGAGAACAGAGGACTCTATGGAAGACAATAAAAAATNATTAAATTAAAAATAAAAAAATCAAAATTTCTTTTGTAGTTTAACACCACAATAATTTGACCAATATGGTAGAAACATAGACGGTAGGTGACATTATGTTTTTGAAAACAAGATAATGAATGGAAAATTGTTTTACATCAATTTGATCTTTCAGTAGTACACTGAATTTATTACATTCAAAAGCACGTTTATCAAAAGCAACACAGTTAAAGTAAATGGTTATTAGAAAAATGGCAAAATTTAACCAAAAACTTAGTTGTGAAATTTTGTATGTTGAATTTGGTCTAAGGCGGTCGTTGTCTCTCCTGTTGTACCGTTATCGTGGATGAATAGTTACCCTTTTGAAACAAAGTTTTTTTGCTACATTTTTTGCACTTATCTACATTAATCTAAAAAATGACCCCTTAGTCCTTAAAAATTTTTTGTCACCAATTCATAGCATTTTTCTCAAGTTATACTATCCTCACATCCTCCTTCAGACATTCTGCATCCCTTTTACATATTCTACACCGCCTTTCCTCTTCTTTTTTATAATATTTACATCCCCTACACTCATTCCCTCCCCTAACTTTTGCTATAACGCTTATTTCCCTCCCCCCGTCTAAATTCCTTGGTACACTACATATCTTGACTCTCTCCATTTTCCTTAAATCTTTTCACCTTATTATTTCCCTTCGTTTGCTTTTAATCAATTTCCCTATATATATTATTTCCCTTAAACATTCTCTTATCTACTTCTGATTGATTTTTAATCTCTACAAAGTCCTCTTCCTCTGTCTATAATATCTACGTTTCCTCCCTATTTTCAATAGTTTCTTTCTCCAGCCTCAACCCAACATTTCCTCATATTTTACTATCCTTTTTGTCGTTTCTTCCCAAAATTAAAAATTTATGTTTAATTAATATTCCGGGATATTTGAAAGAAACATCTGCATCTCGTGAAAGCACCACAACGTAGAGGATATAAAAAGTATGCACAAAAAGTACCCGAGTTAACCAGCCGTCAGTGATTGAGAACAATTGTTAGTTATCTTACCGCCTTTTGCAAGCGTCAACTGTCGAAACACATTTACCTATTCATGACCTTCGCTCAACAGCTGGTACGTAGACAGGTCAATTGCACATACGAACGGTGTACTGGCGGTGTATATCATCACTGCCGGTGCACTTGGGGCTTTCGGCAGGGTTATTACCCTGATGTTTATATATATCACTGTATGGTGCAAGATGTCTCATTCTATATCTGTTTCATGTACCTTCTTATTCCTTGAGGAGTCAGACATAGTTTATAAAACCTCTGCTTTTTTCCACCCATCCTTATATTTTCGGTCCTTAAAACACTATACTCCTTGCTATCACATTAGATAACATCAGTCTCCTACCCCATCATTCTTACATAATACATAAATAACCTAAATAGTGACTAATTTATTTCTCATTTTAGGGGAACTCAACTTGATAGCTCCCTTAATATCGAATTTCTTTTTGGCCGCGTACACTCTAATAAATTTCGCCACCTTTCACGCCTCTTTAGTTAAACCTATAGGATGGAGACCCACCTTTAAGGTAATTTTCACGCTTTTTTCTTAAAACAAAAACCTACCTATTAAATAAAAATGCGCCCACTTTTAGTACTACAATATGTGGTTAAGTTTATTTGGTTCAATAATGTGCGTATTTATTATGTTTCTAATATCGTGGTGGAACGCACTCATCACCATGGCGGTACTTTTGGCCCTTTACTTGATCGTTTGTTACCGAAAACCTGGTAAGTATAATAAATCGATATTTTGAAATTAAGAAGACAATTATTATAATTTTGCGACAGATGTTAATTGGGGATCGACAACTCAAGCTCAGTCTTATAAAGAAGCTTTGAAAGCCGTTTATTCGTTAAATTTGGTAGAGGAACATGTTAAAAATTATCGGCCCCAAATCCTCGTTCTGTCAGGTATGCCGAGCTCTAGGCCAGCTCTTGTTGACTTTGCCAACCTGCTCACCAAGAACATGTCTCTTCTTGTTTGTGGAAATATTATAAGGGTAAGTTAACAAAAACTCAGAGTGGCTGGTTGTGAACCTGTTAAATCGGTCAAACTCCAGAAGAACTCATTTGTTCCTATGTTCCTGATATTTTTTTGTAAATTACTCACTGGAAGAAAATATTCATATCATATTAAATGATTTGCTTTCTTTGAAATTAGTGTTTCCGTTTTTGATCATCACGTTCATTATTGTATCAGGAACCCATATCAGAAAAAGCAAGGATGGTATTAAATGCTAATGCATATTCATGGTTGGAAAAGCACAAGATAAAAGCGTTCTATACCCACGTGGATGGATTAAGTTTCAAGGACGGAGCACAATCCATATTAAAGTCTTGTGGAATCGGAAAACTGAAGCCTAACATTTTGCTTATGGGCTACAAAACAAAATGGTCTACATGTCCAAGGGAAGATTTGGACATGTATTTTGATGTTCTACAGTAAGTGTTTTTTGAAACGAAATTAGGATGTTGTCATAATAGAAATCCAGGTAGTCCAGACTTCATTCCTTAAAGAGTTGATTGATATAATAGAAAATAGACATTTTGATTTTGAATGTTGTACATCTCATAACATTCTCTATCCAATATTTATCTCGTTTTCTTAATTTCTATTGATTATTTTCCATGTTAATAAAAATTATTCTTTTTTTATTGCATTTATTAGGAAGATTGGGTTGATTAAAAGAATTTGTATTGACGGTATTTCTCTTAAAAAGAAAACAAAAAGTTTCGACGTATGTAATCTAAATTTCTGATCGCGATGACCAGAGAAATCAAGTGCGAGTTATTAATTTTCACTCATTGATGGCACTCTAAATTAGACGCAACATTTTTGGGATTAGTCATCTAGCCTCCTTGTCTACTCTAAGTCGCTACTAATCTTGACCATCCCCTCAAGAAACAGAAAATAAGTTTATAATTAAAATATACTTTTATTCTCAGTATAGCCTTAGATTGTCACATGGGCGTCGGAATTCTACGAATAAAAGATGGTATAGAATTCTCGAAGAATTTATATATTGAAGAGCGAATTAAAGATACTTTGGCTTTACCCCGTAATCAATCTTACGGTCAAATGTCCTACAGTAGGTTACATTTTTATTGACGATTTTTTCGAATAATTTTATGAAGGAACTGACCTTTTTAGCCAGCAGTGTAAGTAATTTATCCGGCCAAGCGACACCTTTAGCAAACAAAAAGGACATAGGGGACGGACTTAAAAGTTCCCAAGGTATTATTGTTGAATGCAGTGACGAGGAAGAAGAAGATGAAGAAGAAGAAGAGGGTGAAAAGAAAGAAGAGAAATCGTTGGTTCAATTTATTGACGAAAGCAAAGTAGATGATAAAGAGGAAGTTCCTCAGGAAATTCTGGATGAAATGTTTCCTTTACGGAAAGGAAAGCCAGGTGCAACTATCGATGTGTGGTGGTTATATGATGATGGAGGTAAAAAATACTATAGGGTTGTTCGGAAAGTCATTTCGTTTTTTCCCGACAGAGGATTTAATTGTATTCTTTTGCACGCAATTTCACATTTAAGCCGTATAATTTTTATATGCTTTGAGAGCTCATATAGCAAGGCTTGTGTGTGAAAAATTCCAATTAATTCTACGCAGTAGTTTTTGGTTGGTGCCCTTTTAAATATGGAGAGCGATAAGCAGCATTTTCGA